TCAAGCAGTGGACCAGATTTAGAGAGACCGTTTGTCAGCTTTCAGATATCCAGCAATTTTCACTTTGTTAAAAAAATTGTTTCGAATTTGTTTCGAAAATTTGTTTCCGAGCTAATGGCTGAATATCTCACTTTTCAATTCTGGTCCTATTTTGGGATATTGGGCCTTCAAAACAACTCTGTAAGAAGACCATGGAACTAATCGAAATTCTGTCACGACCTGAAAACAGTCTCCCTCGGGCAAGGCCGTCGTCCTTGAAAAATAAGGGCAGCGTTGCATGCAGTTACTTTTTTCGACTAGCACAGCTGACATATGTGGTTGAGAAAATATAGCTCTAAGATACATTTTAAAAAATTCAGGCATCCGAAACATCATCCGAATCGTGCGCTTCCGGTGTCTCTTTGACGCAGACAACACCGTTTCACCTCGCTCGAGTTGCATTGGACGATTCGTTGCAGTGTGAGTCAGGCAGCGCCAATTACAAATGCATAAAGGTTACCAGAGAACATTCTAAAAAACCTTCAGATAGCATAATAAATTTTTTAACTCATCGAAAGAATTAAACATTTGTTCGTATAGACACGTGTGCATACTTGTATGTGTGTGTGTGTGTGTGTGTGTGTGCTTGTACTTGTGTATATGTGTGTGCGTGTTTGTGTACTTGTGTGTAGGGCGGGAGACAAGGGAGAAGAGGGGCTCGGAGGGAGTCAAGTAGTAGTTTAACTCAGTGGAAAGTGTTTCTTCGTCTTCTGCTCTCCAGATCTGGCGAGATTGTTGTTAACGCCGTTATTGCTGAAGACTTCTACTCTTGACAGTAATGGCATTAATATTGAACTGTGAGAAGCATTTGGAAAATTTTTGTCTTTTTCTCATTAGAAGTTTTTATTTTGTGCTTTCCAGATAGAGAATGGTGATAAGGTAGCAGAACTGATTGAAAGATCACTGGAAAAACACCTGATGTTCGGTGATCATTCGGAGTACTGCCTCGTACAACTTCTGCCAGATGGATGTAAGTTTTACTACGATTTATTATTTTCAAACTACTCAAGTTGTTATTTCAGTTTCTATTAGTTTGTTAACTCGTTTTAATTTAATTGAATTGTTCTAGTTTTGACTGTTTCAATTTGCCATGTCGTCTTGAATTTGCTAATCTGACCATTTTATAACACTTTTTTGTGTCTTTTCAATTTTTTTATTCGGGCATTCGATATATGATCCCTGTGTTGTCAGACTTTTCTTTTAAGGGGTCACACTGAGTCCTGACATTTCAGTTACAAAGAAGTCGTCTTTAGCGAAGTCATACTTGTAGACAAAAAGAAGGGTCATTCCAGATCCTTTAAGGCATTTTTTCGAGAATGTTCGTCCCTTCTACCCCTTGAATTCTTTTATGGTATGGTGCTGTTCAGATTATTTTTTTTTTGCATTTTAAAAAATTTTGATTCTGAGGCTGCATTAAAGATTGTCTCATAAAGTGCTGTTTCCTGGTTGTTATTTCAACTTCTTATGCGTTTTGCGCTGTGTAACAGTAGTGCATTTTGTCACAAGGTTTTCTGTGTATGTGTCCAATATTTTGTCCCGCACCTTCAACTCAGGAACTACAAAAGCTAGATGGTTGAAATTTTTGTAAATGTCCCCCACCAGCGTCTGACCGCGCAAATTTAAATTCGGCCTTCCCGTGCCCGCGGTTAACAAGTACGGCCCCATAAAAGTTTTGGCGAGGAAAATTATTATCTCGGGAACCAAGGAAGCTGGAGAGCTGAAACTTTATGGGTATTTCCCCTGCCTACGTGCAATCCAGAAAATTTAAATTTAGTTTTCCTGTGCACTTCGTTGTCACTTATAGCCCTATGAAAGTTTTGGTGGAAAAATTATTCCGAGAGCCATGAAAGCTGTGAAGCTGAACTTTAACAAGAATGTTTCCTTCGCATGTGTGACCCGTCATAGGCGGATCCGGGGCGGACCGCTGGGGAAGGGGCGAGGGAATGAGGGAAGAGCGGAGCTCTTGGGCGGAGGCAGCGAGAGGTGGGAGAGAGTGGACGCGTCTAGCGGGGGACGACGGGAGGTGTGGTAGGGAGAGCCTCCTCCCACCTTGGAATTGTGCAAAAACTAGATAACACTGTTATTTAGTTATACCCGAGCTTTTGCAGCGCTGGTGCCCATGCCGCTGGGGGAGGGCGAAAGACCCTTCGCCCTCTCCCCCCACTTTCCCTGCCCCTCCCCGTCGTTGGATCCGCCTATGAACCCCGTGAATTCCAAATCTGTTCCCAGTCAAGCCTAGGTCTCGATCACGCCTCCCCCTCCCATCCGCATGAAAGTTTTGTTGGGGGAAATTACTACCTCGGAAGCCATAAAAGATAAAAAGCTGAAATTTTGAGGGAATGCGACCTCGCAGAATTAAGTTCAGCTTTCATGTACTCTTGGATCTCCCGTGCCCCACGAAAGATTTGGTGGGGAAAATTATTATCTCGAGAACCAGAAGAGCAGCGTAGCTGAAATTTCAGGAGGATGTTTGTTGGCTGTGTAGATATCTCACAAACTCAAATTCGATGTTCCTCCGAATTCCTTTGTCAGAGTAGTGAGGTGGGCGACAGGAGAGTGAAAATCGCAACTCTTGGTCACAACAGTTCTGGAGGGTAGCTAGCTTTATTGATGATGTGAAGGTTTGCAGCGACGAAACAGTGCCTGATAAAATTCTAGTCAAGAGTCAAAATCCTCCTCTCCACGTATCCGCTGTCTGTGGGAAGTGAGAACATCCGCAAGTATCACAAGTGGTAGCACGTACAACAACAACCAACAGTTTTCCTCTCAATTTACCATCGAAGCGAGCGAACGAATCGTAGAACGTCTAGATGCCACACCGCAGGTCAACTTCATTACAACAGCTCCATTGCACCAGATCAGATTCTAGTAGATTTCATTATTCAGGCGAATTTCGCTTGCCAGAGAAGTGCAATCCATACTATGCAGTGGCGCCGGATCCGTCATCATCAATGTTAAATTTCGTGCTGCGACGTAAAAGTGACGCTGAACGAGAAGCACTGGCTGGTGGTGCGACTGCACCGTCGGTGAAAAAACTTAATAGGATGAAACGAAGTAACTTGTTACGGTGGAGTAGTGGTTATTTATGAATATTTGGCGGGGTTCCCCGTGTTGTTAAATTGTTGCCAAGTATTTTCGTTGTAGCAGTTAAGTGGAAAAATGAAGGGTTCCATTTTTAAAGGTTCGGTTAATCTTTCAAATACATAAGTCTGAATACGAGTCACAGATCCAAAACCGGAAAACTTCTGTTGCCGAAAAGCCGGTTTTTTTTGTTTAATATCATAGCTGGGAATGGAATATCACACTGATAGCCCGAACGATCTTAGTACTGATGGCCATAATTGAACTTTTCTACTCTTCTGCATTGATGTTAGCAATGGTGAACAACCGGATCTTAACAGCCTAGCAGATATGATAGGTGTCAACGGTTGTTGACAGATATCCCGGAAGAGGAATACACTGGACGCAGCTACACCTTCATGAACTGTTTCGCAGTAACACTGGAAGCTCTTTGATTATGACTCTGCTTTTCTAGTGCTGACTTAACTACGTTATTTAGTAGTTAAGTATCTGCAGATGCTTTTCTAGGTTGAAAGATGCAGCAGTGTTTTGCTTCTAGCGATTAGCATTTTCGTTTTCGTAGATTTAGTTCGCTTTCATTTCTGCATCAGTTAGAAAAAGTACATAAAACATTGCCTCGCTTATATTCTCGTACATGAATTCTATGCCTGATCTTACCATTGTTCTCTCTTCTCCAAGATTTGTGCAAATGTCGCATTATTCGGGCAATTTACCAATGTCACCTTAATTGCGCTTATTGTTACTGCAGAGCCTCCGAACTATTGCATTGTTAATATGTCTTTTTACCTCTTGGAACTTCTATTTCTTCTTTTTTCTGCATAGAGCTAACTGTGAGACTTGAAAATTTCACTTTTGTTTTCGAAATTTCCAAAATTTTTAGAAAAAGCTTATCATGTTTTGCAAATTTAAGAGGTTTTGCTTCTCATTTTCAATCTTATATGAAATCTCGTTTTTAGTATTATACTAACGCTTTTTAATTTTGTTTTTTACTCTTATTGCTAATAAGTTCTCATTACTTTTAATGATGCAAGAGTGTACAATTCATTACTTGTTCGAATCTGAAATTTGAGAATCTTTCTGAATGCAGTTTTTGGTCTAGGAATTGTCTTTTTTCTTCTGTGCTTTCTAGACGTTTTCCGATGCCTTTCGATATAATACTCTCTTGTTATCTTTACTGCTTTATTATCAATTTTATTACTTCCTTAGCTGGTCATGATGATTGCATAATTCTTCGTAATAATCTGGTGCTATTTTACTGTATAATTAGCGATATTGA